AATTTTACTCACTACATTGTATCTTTAAGTTTACTAATTTTTTTTTAGACACTAATCCTCAAGCTTCACCTCCTTATTTTTTTTTCTTTTTTTTTCTTTTTCAGGCAAGGATTACTAGATTTGGATAGACCTTTAATAATTTTAAATTTCACTTCTCCTTTCCTAAAGTCCTGAAATAAATCTTTTACTTATAAATATAATAATAGTTTTGAAAATTATTTTTAATAAAAGAAATTTAAGTATTAAAAATAAAAATCTAAATTTCTAAATTTTTCAAAAATATAATTTTTCTTAATAAAGATAGTTGCACTATATTTAACATTTTCTACACTAAAACTTTTAACTGAAAGTTTTTCTTCATTAATTAGAATTTTAACTAAATTTTCTTACTCATTTCTATAATCAAGTTTTACTTCCTTAATATAACTTCATATACATGATCATTTTTCTTTTCAAATCAAATTCACTCGTAGCACATTTTAGAACAAATAAAATTCAAGTTTTGAAAATATTTTTCATCCCCCAAACTTAAATTTTTACAAGATTAAACAGTTTAGTAGCAGATATATATAAGCATGAGTGAAAATTGAAATAACATACTTATAGGGAAAATTGAAATAACATGCTTACAGGAATTTCTATACCCTAATTATACAAGTCTAAAACTAAATACAAGAGTAAAATTAATTTTTGATCAATTTTCTATCATTTTCCTTTTAATTCAGCATGTAAATATTCATTAGACTTCTAAGTAGTGGGTACAGACATAAACTAACAAACTAACTAACTTTGAATACACAGTCTAAACATAGCAACAAACACACTTACAAGATAAAAGAAAAATACAGGGTAGCAGTTTTTTGAAGTTAAGGTTTATAACTAAAGTTAGCAAGATTTTAAATTTTTCAAAAGATATAGAATCAAGTTCAATCCTTAACTAACTAACAAAATACTTTAACACACAACAACAATCACCACCCTAGAATTTTAAATCAAAATACTAACAAACAAAAACATCACAATAACAATAAAAAAAATTCCAACACATCACATAATCTAAACAGGTACATACATGTAAATGTAGCAAGTCCAAACTACATAATCCATCACATACATATTACAAACATAAAAATAACTCAGTCCTCCTCCTCATTATCATAACGCAGTCCTCTTCCTCATCAGCAGAATCACCGCTATTCTAGACATATGTAGGCTCATAATCAGGGTATCTTGGATATGAAGAAAATTCCACTCATTGATTACCCCTAATGAGGCTTTCCAAGGATTTCTCCTCATAATCACTATGCCTTCTAGCATACCCATCATTATGATCTACAAAACTTTCTAAATTTCATACCTTATCTGTGGTATAATTAATATTATCCATCATCCTCTACAATAATAGATCCTAAGTTTCAGTAGGCCCGTTAATATTATCCATCATCCTCTACAATAATAGATCCTAAGTTTCAGTAGGTCCGCCTCTAGATGCAGCAGATGTCGACATTCCATAATTTCTTGAAAATCCTCCTCTCCAACACAAAATAGAGTGCTTAGAATATGATTTCACATTTACACTTGTAGTTGGCTTTAGAGGCAACAACACTTCTTCCCAGCTATCATATCTCACTCCACCCTGCTCACACAAAGAAAAGATCAAGGAAGAAAATCCCAGACCTGCAGTAGTAGCGGCAGAGACAGAACTGACAATAGTCTAATAAATCAAAGCCCCAATATTGATAAGCTTGCCTTTCTGAATACAATAATTCAACGTTGCACTCTCCCTCGTAACTTCACTAAGATGATTTTTCGGTAACAGACGAGCTGAAATAAAGTAGTGCTACGCCTTCGATGGTGCACTTAACTTTGAAGTGGAAAAGTTTATTCTCCTCTCATTTATAATTTTCTAGAGTCCCCTTCCAACAGTCAAATATGAAATAATCTTGTCCAGTTCCGTCTCAATCATACTATAGTTCACATAAAAACAAAAAGTATCAGGTGGTAAATGGTAGAACATATTGATTACCTCCAATGAAAAAGGTACCAATTTTCCTCTAATCATGACTCAATCCTCTTTTGCCTCAGGAAGGTTTGCATAAAACTCCCATACTATAGATATCACAGCCACTTCAGAAAAACAACACAGAATAGTTCCCATTGTCGGTGAACGATCAAATCTTCCACAGATCCACCTGGATTTTTGAAACATTGCTTCTGTATAAGTTTTAGTGATTGCAGAGCATCATTATACCTATCCTGAGCTTTCGAACTCACAAACTTGCTAGAATCAAAGTGGGTCTTTCCCTTACTCCTCTTCATTCTTGGGGTCATTCTACAAATTTCACAAAATTCTACAATAATTTCAAAGATCAAGTCAAATCTACTAAACTTAACTTGTATAAGCATAAACTACACTTTCTATGCAATTTTCATACACTTTCTATCCACTGAACTCGTGTGAGACACAATGTGTGTACACCTAAGTGTGTGATTCTCACTTGTAAGGATCACGTCACTTACGGTTTTGTACTCAAAATACATGGTGAAAATCTAAAATTTTTCTATAGAAGTGAAGTTCTTACCTTAAGAAATTCACATCTAGAAAATTTGGCTTGAATCCACCAAGAAATCAAATCCACTGCAAATTTGGCTCAAATCCACTAAGAAATCTCCACGAAAAGGTTTGCCCTAGACTTCAAAATCGTGAACTCGAGAGGAAGAAGACGATAGAGGAGTAAAAATGGTGATTTTCGGGGTTATTTTTTACCTTTAACCGTTCACAAACCGATTTTCATGAACTGTTGCTTAAGCGCAGATAAGTAGCGCTCAGGCGCTTGCCTCTTGGGTTACATTGCGCTTAAGCGCGAGAATATGGCTCTTAGGCGCCAATGCATGATTTTTTATATTTTTTGAACTTAAGTAAAATGCTCTATTAGCCTAAGTATACCACCCCTAAATGGTCTTATAACACTTAAATGACTATT